AGGACTTTGGTTTAATATCTGATCCTAATGACAGTTTCTCCTGCAGCAGAGTGTCCCCAACTCAGTTTTTGCATCCATGTTGATTATTTCTAACATCCAAGAGAACAGTCAACATGGATTATAGACACTTGCCATTTAGGGAACTGTGTGGATTAAGAACTGATTAATAACCAATTACCCTGCAGCTCTACCCTGCAGTAACCCATGCATGTTAAGCATGTGTAAGCCTGAATCAGTACCTCGATGGTGGTGGAGAGGAGTCCCCATTATTTAATTATAATCATGAATTATAAACATTAAACAGTGTACATAAGGGGTAAATGTTAAAACGGGGGTGGTGTAAATAGTGGCGTACCACAAGATCTGTACTGGGACCACGGCTCTTCCTAATTTTTATCAATGATCACGATTCTGTTATAGTTGGTAAAGTAGTCATTTTTGCAAATGATACCAATTCAGGAGGATTAGAGTTCATTCTTGAAGTTTCAAGAAACAGAAAAATGAAATGAAAAAAGATTTAGATAAAAATTAAAGACTGGGCAAACATGTGCCAATGATGCTTAATGTAGAAAAGAGTAGGATTTTATATGCAGATAGTAAAAATGTAAACTATACAGTAAATACAAAAAAGCAGAGCTATAAGGAAGAAGACTTAATGGCTGATGTTAACACACTGTTAACATATTCCAGGCCATGTAGGGAAGCAATAAAAAGACAAAACAAAATATTATGCCATATGCTGTAGTCAAATCAAGGAGTGTTATATAATTCAAAATCCTCAAAGACTATGACAATGTCAGTTAAGCAGATTTCTCCAGAACAAACAGTAAAGCACGAACCAGAGGACACAATTGAAAACTATGTGGAAGTGTAATTAAAACCAAGAAGAGGAGGTACTCCATTACCTCAAGGGTTGTGGGAATATGGAACAAGCTCCCCAACCCTGTGGTTGAAGCTGATATTTTGGCTACCTCCAAGACACATAGATCAAAAAGGTACTAACTACCAAACAGGCTGAATTGCCTCCTCTAGTTTGCAACATTTTTTCTGTTCTTATTTTCATTATGTTTTGGAAATTATGGTCCAGATGGAAGAGCCCCACCTACTGGTCCACCAACACCACATACAACAGCAAAAAAGTTGTACAGTAAGTACGCTCATAAGAGAGAAGTTTATTGGTGCAAATGCCTCTGATCAACACCATTCATCTTAAAACACACAGTTAATAGAACAGTTCCACAAAGTCATCACAGGCAACTTCATACAAAACAAATTGATTTTTAAGACTTTGGTGTGGGTTTTATAAGGCTGTCTAAAGAATAAGTCAAAGATCTATGTTTAAGTACCTTGCCTCTATACAACAAGTATAGGAATTTATTTATTAACAGCCATTGCATAAGATAATTGAGAATGTGTAGTTGATGTAATATGGCGTAATATGGCAAATCTATAATTAAACGGCAGACCTCAAAATAGATTTTACCAGTAAAACCTTTTCTTGCAATTTTAATAGTTTACAGAAGTCTGACCTTTTTCCCATGGAATTTTATCAGGGAGTAATCTGGGGGAAAAAATGATTTTTTAAAATGTATCTGAACCCAGTCCCCACCCCCCCACTCCCTCCAGCAACAGCACACCACATCTGACAGTCTCATACAAGCACAATAACAAGATTTAATTTGCAAAATGAATTTATTAGTTCATGTTGTAGCTGTACAATGTGCAATTCACAGCAGCGTGACCCTATTTCCCAATGCTGATAACTGGACACCTGCTAAAATATTTCACAGCTACTGTATGACTCTCTCCTCTAGGGCTGCCAACTTTGCAATGCAAATAAATGGCCTTCTGGGATCCTTCTTGTGTGTGTGCAAGGGGGTGGGAATGGCCCACTCCAGCTTTTCTGTTTTCAGGGCTTGAAGGAGAGTGGGTCTTCCTTATCTGATTTTTTGGAATTTAAAACTTGCCTGCACTTATGATACAATAAATATTTTATCTCATGCATGTATAACATCAGGAAATAGAGGCAAATACCCAGGACAGGTCTTAAATACAGGACAGTTCCAGTAGAAATGGGATGCATGGACATCCTGTCTCTGTGCACTTTATAGTGTGAAGTATGAAGAAAGAAGAGAAATCACACTTTTCACTTGACCTTGGGCTCCTAAAGCCATACGTGTGCCACTTATCATTTGAAACTGCCTTCAGCCTTCTCGGCTTTTGCAAAGCTTCTTGAAAGCTGCACATACAATTGTTTGGAGAATATGTGCCACCATTGGGATAGAGTAAGACAGACAGCATTCTTCTGTTTAATAATTAATATTTCTTTTTCTCTTTTGAATAGTCTGTTTCATGTGAAATATAGGATAAGTATAAATGTTTCAAACACAAAAAATAAGTTTCAATAAAGTTTTAATAATGACTGATGTTTTTGTGTCAAAACAGGCTATTAGAACACTATACCGAGAAATTCTACCGGCATTGAGTTTTTATATAAACTTTAAACAAATGTGTCACCTATTGCCTGATTACAGTTTTTTGCATTTTAAAGCAGAATTCTCGCAAATATCGCCATTCATTTATTTCAGTTTACCATTCAACTTCTTCTGAAGAAGCTGCTTTATATTTAAACTTTGAACTTTATAACTGTGGATCTTTTTGTCATATACTTACACTTTTGTCTCTTCTCCACACAACAAGGAATCGATAATTAACTCAGTAACACAGCGCTTCTCATGTGACATTACAGAGAGATAGTTAGCACTGCTGCTGCACAGCTCCAGGATCATGGTTTTGGTCCGAGTGGAGGCGCCTTCTTCCCTCTGTGTTCGCATGGCGTTGTGACCCCTCCTTCATCTGCTTCCTCGCATCTCAGAGACACGTGGGGCAGGTTTGACTTGCTACTCTAAAACGTTCTCCTGAGAGTTGTCTGTGCTCCCCACCTCATTACTGGTCTCTGGCGTCTCTTTCCCCTGTGACCAGTTTGGAATCTGGGACTATAAGGATGGGCAGTGCTATTCGTCCACATGCTACACAACACCAGAAGAAAGCTTTAGCAGGCCTACTGCTTTTAAAACAATACATTTAATCAAACTTGTATGTTCATAGGTCACTAACATACTATTTTCTATTTACTTATTTTCTTACTATTTTAAGAAAGTACAATCATTTCTATTTAACAATTATATTGCATAATATTAAGAAATACTGACCAGTGAAAGTGTGTCCCTCATTTCAATGTTCATTACAAACTCAAGAGCCATAATCTTCATATTAAATTTAATTAGTGCAAGAGAGTTATCTTTTCACATTGTTGAGACACTATATCCTTCTCCTATGCAGTTTTATTAGCTGAAAATATTTAAAGAGTGGGCACTTATGTCTGGGATACACTACATACAGTGTTCATTTAACGTGATTGGTAGAACCACAGAATATATCATAACCCTCATAAAATAACCTAGAAATATCTTTTTAACTGTTAAAAGTTCCATAAATTCTATGTCTGAGGGATGGGCAGGAGGGAGGTGTGGTTTCACAACACTGGGTTCACTTCTTGACCTGGGGTGCTATCTGCAGGGAGTTTCTGCAGGCATGTTCTCTTTGTGTTCATGTTGGCTTCCCCTGGGTGCTCCGTTCACAGTCCAAAGACATGCTGGTAGGTTCTGGCTTCTGTGAGACTGGCCCTGGTGTGACGGCATGTGTTTTTGTCTGTGTGTGCCCTGTGATGAACTGGTGTCCCATACAGGGTGTATCCTGCTTTGCACCCATTGCTTGCCGACACAGGTTCTGGCTCCCCCACATCTCTGTACTGGACAAACCCATTACAAAATTGATGGATGGATGGCAGCGAGTGCAGCTGAACTAAGTACTGACAACATGATGTATCTGAAACCGAGGTACAGTATGTGATGTGGAGAAGAATGTCATCCCTTCTATGAAGCATTGTGATGGATCAATTTGGCTTCAGGGCTGCCTTGCCTCCTAGTAATCCGGTGTCCATATTAGAACTGAGGAAGAGATAGATTCTAGAGTCTGCCAGGATATTTTAATCAAAAACCTTGTGCCTTTTGTTAAAAAGTGCTGGCTGGGATGAAAATTGACTTAGAAGGCGGGGTCGTTATCCAAGGAACACACTGATGTGAAGACAACAGTGCTCCTGATCTGTCATCTCAGTCACCAGGAGAAACTGTAGGGTGGGAGCTGAAGAAAGAGGATCACAAGTGCAAGCTCTCAATCTGGGGAGCTGGAGAACTAGACGAGAGGCTGAACTTCAAAATAGACTACAGGAAGCAGCTTCTTGAGGACATCAAGGCCAGATGAAAATTCACAAAAATACTGATTGCTGAGATGTGAAATCATTTGAACATTGTGCATTTAGGCATTTTTGAGAGATGTGACAGCTAGTATAATAATAGTAAGACGTTTTTTTACATGTTGTGAAAAATATTTAATGTACACCAATTTTTCTGCGCCAGCCTATATTGCATTGAATAAGGGTCTTAATCTTATATTAGGCATTGAATAAAACAAACAACTGTATTTGTGTGCATCTAGCTTAAAAGCTATATTTTTTTGGTCAGCGAAGTCTCGACTTTATTTATATTATCTATAAGTTATAGTTATCTTAGCAAATGTCAAGATGTTCTTTTAATTGGAAATAAAGGGTTTATATTTCTCTGCCAGCAGCCCAGTAAATGTCCTCACTGACAGCTCCAAAGACACGAGGTGGAGGCGGTGCCCTGTGCTTACACGTCACTAGCTCAAATAGAACCGTAATGCCACAAATATACGACTACTAAAATAGTTAAATAAATAAACTATAAACTAAAGGAAACAATTTAAAGCATTATCGAGTGTTCGGTTAAATACATGCAAATAAAAATTGAAAACGTGGAAATAAACATGAAAAATTCAGTTATCCATGAGGTGCACTACTTTGTATTCTTTGGAAACGAGATGCGCATTTTTTTGGCAAGATACATTAATAATGGCGACCTTCTAATGTGTAAGGAAATAAACCTGCAAAGCTTTCGGACGCTTCTTCTCTCACACTGTAGTCCAATCATATACCTGCAGTACAGCGGCACATACGAAGGTTTGCGCAGACCAAACGCAACATTTTTTAATGTGAAAATGGGCCTTTTTGAAAGGGTACGAAAGGAATGGTTTATCATAGGAATAGTGTTAGTGATCACCTTTGCAAAACTGGAGCCTTCTATTGGAGTGAAGGGAGGTAAGTGCTCTGTACCTGAGTAATACTTTTATGCTTCCGTTTCAAAATCCATAGATTCTATTTGAAAAAAAAAACTTAATTATTTCTTAGGCATTTTGACTCTTTTTCACCCATTTCTGATTGGCCACAGACTCACAATATTAAGTGCATTCCCTAAAAAGAGCATCTACATTCAAGAGTAGTTAGTAAGGTGAGGCTAACCGATACCTACATTCTTTTAAATTGCTTCTATAATGGTAAAATTAGGGTAGTTTGATGCGTGTTATAGGATCATTAAGGAATTATGCATTTAAGAGCGTTGTCAAGGTACCTTCACGCGGTTCTTCAATGACTAGCCTTCTTCCCAATATCGTTCGTAAGGGTCAAGCACATTAGCTAGTGAATACTGTACAGTATGTAGCTAATGTCGTGGCTCGTCTTTTTTATATGAATCATCAAACTATAAATATTTCCTGTATAAAGCTTAAGAAGCGTCTGAAGTACTCCTCGCTCTTGTGCAACAAATTAAGGAAACCATTTACAGTAGTTCAACGCCTGAAAAACTAAACATTTTCTGCATAATGCTTCTATTACCAACTAGGTAGTAGTGTGAGTGACACGTTGCAGTAACTAGGATACACTTCCGTGTTCTGCTGTATAAATGTCCCGTCCCAGGTGGTGCTGCAGTGAAAGCTACAGTACATTAACTCTCCATCATACTTCATCCCTCTCCTTAAATTATTTTCCACTTCACGGTGTTTTTTAAACAAGGCTCACACGAATCTATCCCGCGTGTTGTTTACCGCTAACTAGGAAAGCGTTGTGCCACTAACGCCAAGGCTAGTTTAGTTCTGTAATACAGTACTGATGCGTTTTTCAGTGCCAGTCCTGTATACAGTACTAAAAGTTTAAGATTTTGAGTCTGACAATTTCCTAGACTGCTAATTCGCAATTAATCAGTCACTATTTTTACAAGTAGGGAAAAACGTCTGTCCTTAAATAAATTACGTTGTGGTAAAAAAAAATAAAAGTACGTACTGTATATAAATTAACTTTGTCACCAAATATACGGTTTTTCTGTAAGTTATCAGCCTTTTATTTGACCATTGTACCCTCTACAATGTTGAAGTTAGTCTTTGGAACATTGTTTTGTTAGCGGTAATGTATTTGTTATAGTGCAGGTTTTCAGTTTAATGATTTGGTTTTTGCAGAGAGGAGTGAGGAATACTGTACATGCACATTCCACCAGTCCATGTGTTGGGAGTAGCAGATTGCTTGGCTTTTTTTCCTACTACTCAGTCCTTTCGCCAAATAAATACCTTGTTTACCCAGAACAGTCACCTGTTGCTGTGCACTTTCATGTTTGCTTTAAAAATAGATGGTCAAACTGTCATCCTGGAGGGATTTGTGATGTGGGTGACGTATTCTTTTGTTTGTAATAAATATACAATGGGCGGCACAGTGGTGCAGTGGTTTGTATTCCTGCCTCGCAGCACAGGGGCCCTGGGTACAATTCTAGACCTGGGGTGCTGTCTGCGTGGAGTCTGTATGTTTTCTCTGTGTTTGTGTGGGCCTTCCCCAGGTGCCCTGGTTTCCTCCCATAGTCCAAAGACGTACTCCAGGTCCCTGGTGTGAATGTGTGCATGTTTGTGTCTGTGTGTGCCCTGCTATGGACTAGAAATCCTGTCCAGGATGTATCCTATCTTGGCCCTGTTCCTTGGAATAGGCTTTGGATCCTCCTTGACCCTGTATCGGGTTAGGAAGTGTAAAGTGGTTAGAAAACGATTAGATGGATATATGAAGTTCTAATGAAGGTACAGTATACGAAGCTCAAGTAGGTACTGTAGCTGCATCAGCATGTGTAGGCTGCTAAGGAACAGGTAAAGGTTTATTGAAAAGAAAAAAGATACAGCGTTTTGGCAGTGGAGCCTTCTTCAAGTGTCAAATGGAGACATAATTAGAAATAGAGGAACATACTGTATGTAGAACCAGGCTTTACAATGTTTGTGGGGTTTCCTTTGTTTTGTGCTTGAAGAGTGGACTTTGATTGATTTATAAAATAAAACAAGAATTAGATCTCTCAGTAGGAAAGACAGTAATTGAAAGGAGATCCATACAATAAAATCTCTGTCGTTTTTTTGTTTTATATTCAAAGTGGCTACCTGACTGAGAAGAAATAAAACTTGTTAATCGAACCCAACGTCTTAAGGGATTTGATCATCACACTTCCATCATTATAACTCATATCCCATTTTTATTGAACAGAGCTTAATTTTTTATATACTGTAAGTTTTCTTTTGAGGTACTGTATATAGACAACATATCATAATTCATTTAGTACCTGTTTTTTAATTCATTTGCAAAAAGCAAACTGAAACTGAATATTGGTTTTTCTTCTCCTGTGTTCACAGGTCCCTTGAAGCCAGAGATCACAATTACATATGTTGCTGTGACGCTCATCTTTTTCAACAGTGGATTGTCTTTAAAAACTGAGGTGATTGTTTCATTCTTAGAACACATAAATGGTAATTTTAAGATCACAGCAAAACCTGGAATATATATACTGTATATACATTCATTAATTTGTTGTATCATTGTTTAATTTCCCTGATCAGAAGCTAATTTCAATAATTAAATTTCCTAAAGCACGCTGAAAGTGAAACCACTGTGGAGGAGGCAGTGTGGAGAAGTGATTAGGGCTCTAGACTAGTTGTAATCAGAAGGTTGCTGGTTCAAATCCAGAGTAGGGAAGTGCTGTTGTACTTTTGAAAAAGGTGCCTCACTCAGATCGGTTTACTAGAAATAAGCCCAGTGCTAGAAATGTAAGTTGCTTTTGATAAAGTGTCTGCCAAATACATTAATTAAATTCCAGGGAGAAAAGAGTAGTGTTCTGTTGTTTGACATAGCTTGTACTATACTCTTAATCTGGCAGCTTTACAAACTCCTGATTTTTCAGTAAGTTTGTCTAATGGATGTTTGTGGTTGAGTATGTGTGTTAGCTGCAGTTGAAGTGGAATACAGATTTAACAGCTTGGATTCTAGAAGAATAGATAATGAGGTTTATTGTATGCTCTTACACAGATAGATCATGCATATGTGATATAATTTAGCTGAGAGCATTGACATTAGTTACAAATATTTGTAAAATAATCTGAAGACCAAATGTAGACAAGAATGCTAGCAAACGAGCAGCATCTTATATCTCTTCTAGTATATACTGAGTATCAAAACACACTCATCTCTATTTACTGTATATATGTTTTTTTTATATATATGTATAATTTCATGTTTTTACTATACTATAGGTTTGATTAACTTATCACTTATTACCTACTATAATACACTTAAGTGACTTTGACTGTTGCATAAATGCCATTGATCTATAGCAAAGAAACTTGATTGGACACAAGTAATGAGGTGATTAAGTTGCTGAATGTCTAGTCTGACAATCTATCAAATATAAGACAAAAAAACAGAAAGAAATCAATTTACCCTATTGAGAATAATTGATTTGCTTACCTAAAGATTAAATAATGCCTTAGTGCCAACAGTATATTGGAACAACACTTCAGGTGGAATTGTGAGCAGTGAAGCCAAGACCTCTTTAATGACGAGGGTTTGGGTAGACCACCCATGTGGTGTGTAAAGCACAACAGACCATTCAAAGTTTGATGGAGCTTCTCTTGTAGTGGAGCTACATGTTCTCTCTGTGTTTGTTTGTGCCTCCTCCTGGTGTCCTGGTTTCCTCCCAAAGTCCAAAGACATTGCTGGAGGGTTAATAGTCTTCAGGGAAAATAAGCCCCGCTGTGTGAGTGTGTGTGTCTGTGTCTGAGTATGATGTCCCATCGAGGGTCTACTCTGCCTTGTGCCCATTGCCTGCTGGGATAGGCTCCAGCTCTTCCGTGATCCTGATTTGGATAAAGTGGTGAGAAAATGGATGGATAGTGATTTGAGAACCTGTGTGCTTAACTAGGGACATCACAGTAAAGTCCATCTTCTGCTTCCTTAACCTTACATCTGTCAGCAACCTTTTGTCTCTTTCTGTCTGTTGTAGTCACTTCAGAGTTCCTAAAACATTGGAGCAGAAATCTACCAGTTTTTTTTGCAGTGCTCCTATTTAGCGCCCATTCAACAAAGTGTTGGACTCCTGTGTGTATCCACACTCCTGTTGTTGTGTAACTGAACAGTACATAATTGTAAAGAACAAACACGTCAAACCCTTTACCAATTAGTTACACTGGAAGACAACTTTTGCCTTTTATCAGTCATGATGTAATATCATCACTGCATTTCTCATTACCTTTGACTGTCCTTTGTGATAATGTATCAGCTTGTCATCCATTGTCTAATAGTCGATGCTAATTTACCTCCTTTTCCTCTTTTCTTCAGCACTGCTGAAAAATCTTCCACCTCCTTCTGATGGATCATGTCACTATCTGATCCTACAAATTAAAAAGCTCTCTGCTGTCACACTGTCATTTCTCACACTGTTCTGCTGATGAGTTGGGCGATTAAAGTTTGCTGCACTAAAAATATAATGATCATTTTTCTTTATTGAATTCACTGTTCTGAAAAAAAGTGTTAGTGAGAGCTTGGTAAGTGTGTGTAAAAACTTAGGTTTTGATAAAAGACCTTATTTTTAAAGAAGAATTAGATTCTTAATTATATTGTTCAACAAACCTTATCGCTGCCAGATGAACATGGATCTTTCCAAAATGTAGAATTTGTTTTCTTTGTGTTCCAAAGAGAAAGGATTTTTGATTCCCTTTTATAAAAGTAATGGTTTTTATTTGGTAAGCAATACAAATGTTTTATAAGCACATATCTAAAGAGACCTGGAATAGCATTACTCTTATATAATTTATCTGTGTAGCCTTAAGATAAGTGTTTTGTGTACTTTTAGTCTTTTTTGTAAAATGTATGTACTGTATGTTAAATTTTCTCTGCAGTAAGACTAAGAAACAGCTTTCACCTTCACCCAGGTAACATTGCAGACTTCGTGATTCCTCTGAGATGAAAGAAATCACCTCGTCCTTCACTTTCCTGGAAGAGCAGGAGGGCTAGATTCTAGAATGAGTGATGTTATGCCTCATGTCATGACATCACTCATAGAATCAGTGATGTCATGCTTCTTGGTGCTGTTTTTGTTTGCACTCATGCAAGGACGTGCAGGTTTTGAAAGCCAGTCATTCAAAACTGAGCTTCACAATGTAAAACTGGAGCTGATATTTGGCTTAACCCGCTTGGCTGAGGGCTGACCTTCTGGCCATAGGACGAGGAGGCCAGGACCCCCACGCCGGGTGACCAAGGGGTCGCTGCAGAGGTGGAGCTGGGTGGAGGTGGGATGCACACGAGGGAGAGAGATATCGCGTTGGTATTTATAGCATTTAGTGGAGGAAGGATGAAGGGAGTGATTGCTGATTACTGACAGCTGGAAACGATTGAGCTTGGTTGTTGTCATCCCTCCCAAACTTTCGTTATATAAACTCCATTTAATAATTACGATGCAAAAGCACATGACATTTTTTAGCTGTTGCTGTAGCATAAAAACAAACTTTTAAATTTAGAAAAAATGAAGTATATGGATTTTGATATAGATTAAATATTTTTATCAAAGGTGCTTGAGGTGCTTTAACTTTCTGCAACCAATAAAATATAGAAACCAATATGCCCTGCTTAACAGAGAGAAATGTTTTCATGCCATCGATATGCCATCGATATGGCCTTTCAGGGTGTTCGCAGGATTTTATAATTTGGCAAGACCTTACAGTTCTTCAGCGACAGGCCATGGTGTAGGAGACCAGGAGTCAAGGCGCCTGGCCAAGATCATGCTCCATCTTCCTGCTTGTTTTCACACTGCCAGCTCCGATGGCGATCAGACCATCTCGTCTGTTCAATGAAACGTCAGTTCACCTCTGACCGAAAAGAGGTCTTTTCTGCTCATAACTTTGTAAATGTTCTGCTGTTGAAAGGTTTTTTTTTTTCCTATTAGTATATTATGTTGGAAAGAATTCTGGGTTATTTGTCTTAGAGGACAATCTGCCACCCATGTATTGGTCACATTAGACAACATTAAATCCTCACTCAAACCCTTATGATTGTTTAAAGCAGCTTTCCTCAGTCTTTTCCATCCAAGAGCACACTTACATACTGCATATATATAGAAAAAGTTTGTGGCACACTGCCCCATCATTACAAACACACATACCAATAATATAAGTATTAATATTCTAAACGAAATATATTTTAATATTTAATATAAGTTTGCCTCAAAGAACATAGTCAACCTATCCTGGCAGGAGCTGATGATCTGAGAGAACGGCCACCCTCGGCCCTATGTTCTTGTGCACAAAAGGGTTTTTTAAAGTCTGATGGCCGTGGACAGTTGTCTGACTGCGACACAACACTAATATATAACCATGTAATTTGTTAATTTAAAAAAAAAACATGCAACTGTTTTTTCCAAAAACTCCATGGCACGCCCGATAAGGTGTGCGGAGAGACGCCGGTCTAAAGGAGGAAAGTAACGTGGCTTCTCTTTCTCACAGGAGCTGACGAGCGCTCTGATGCACGTGAGGCTTCACCTGTTTGTGCAGATCTTCACGCTGGTGTTTTTCCCTGCCGCAACATGGTTATTCCTGCAGTTCCTGGCATTTACCACCATCAACAAATGGCTGCTAATAGGGTAAGTTTGTTCTTAACTGACTTCATTTGAGTTCAGTACTGTTCATTGAATATAAACAAAATAAGCGTGATCTTGTCAATTAATCTGTTATCTAAATTGTGATGGGAGATCTCTTAATACAATATTTTAAAGGAAAGGTTAGCATTTAGCGGTTCAGTCGTTGTCTTCTACACAGCAGTACCCTATTTTTATTGTGGTTTATGTGTAAAATAAAACAGCTGTGGCTTATACGATCTATGATACAGGCCATGAAGATGATTTTCTTTTTTTAATCTTCAGATATGATCTTCTTATTGTATCTCCCAGCCATAACTTTTAATTTGTCACAAGGCATATATTTTTTGTGTGAAACTTTACTGTCTCTGAAACACCAGTGTACAAAATATTGCTGTAATTTTTATTGTCTCAATTTCAGGAACATGGTGAATGTGGTCTTTAAATGTGTGGGAAAATATACCTTAAAGTCTGCTGTTCTCTAGCTTCAGCAGACAGACCATGTTTTAATGAAAGCCAATACACATTTAGGATATGTAGAAATATAAATAATTTTTTCATTACTTTTTTAATACGGCATTAAACGTTTTATACATTTTTTCACATATTTACAGTATATACAGTACAGTGCATGTTCCTAAGGCAGTACTTTACTGCAATCCATATTGCAGTAAAACATTGATTTTTCTCAATCCATGGATGTATGTAAGGTTTGGGAAATTTGTGTTTTATTTTTAAAAAGATGCACCTATTATAATAGAAGGAAATGCCATTCAGTGACACAGAACAAACTTGCTACAGTCAAGAGCAGTGTCCTGTACTACGGTATGTAGTGTATTCATATGACAGGATACATAAGTTAATTCCTGTTTTTATCCTCAGTTTTATTTCTTTTGTGGCACTTGCTGTCATTCAGTTTATTTGTAAATCCAGACTTGTAGCACTAAGTCATGTTCATTTTCATCAGTGTTTGATCATTATTGTGACACTGCAGAGAAATTCTAATAATACAATCAGTTCTACACATCACTGGAAACCAACAGCAGCTCTTACAATCCTGGAATAATTAATTAAGTCTTCAGACAGGGATTTTTAGCTGCATACAAATCATTTACGCCTTATCCCCATAATTGTTAGTGTAATACTTGTCCTTGTCCAGGTTTTAATGCAGTGCTATACAGAAGTTAAATGCACCTTACCTAATACAGTTGTTCATACTGTATTGGTGAGTTTTGGTCATGTAAAATGGTTTGGTAAGGTGATTGTGAGATTCCAATAGTTTATGAATGGATAGAGACAGCAAATTAATGGGTTATTTTTCAGCCCCTTTTAATTATTAAATTGTAGCGATAAGTAAACTAAAACCACACACAAAATTGTTTTCAGAGTTTGGTAAGTGTAGGCACGAAACAACCACTGATTTTGAACCATACAGTTTTATGAATTTAGGATCATCAGCAGCTTTTTGGGGAATGTTTATTTTCTCAGACCTGTGTATTTGTTTTAAAACTTTGACTTTCCCACAGACAGAGAGGTCCTAGTGTATCTACTGGGCCCTGAGGCTGCTTAGTTCGACTTATTTTATAAAACATACATTTGTCAAGCTTAATAGAAAGTGTGTTTTTACTTGTCATTTCCATCTTGCATTTCTATGAAAGCCCTGTGTATGTATGTATTTATGTGAAATCTACATTTTCCAAGAAAGTGTTTACATAACTGGAATCACGTGTTCTCCTCTCTCTGCCCCGTGTTATAAAGACTTTTTTCATTCATTCTTCCTCGACACCTGGAACTGCAAGCCTCCATCAATGTCTCTCTTGTTTTATGTTTTACTTTTACCAAAATGCAGGATAAAATTTACCCCTGTTACCGTAGTCACCAGTGTGAAAGTGAAACATTCTAAATCTTTAGAACAACTAAATCTTAAAGACATTTCCAGTTAAGTAGGGACATGGAGATCCAAAGGCAAAGGCGTGTCACCTGCAGAACAGGCACAAAACAGAAGAACATAGTATCTCATCTAGAAGAATCCTACCACTGACAAGCAGACTAACTGAGATTTAAACCTGCTGTCTGCACCCCACAATGATGAGCCCCTTTCCAACACTGGTTACAACACATATAGACAAGGGGAACTCTGGAACTGTCTCACTCATCCATATTGATGATGTGACTCATGATGGCAGCAACAGGATGAATTCTGAGGTTTATAGAGCCATTTCATCTGCTTATGTAAAACACATTTTCAGCAGCGCTTCAGAGAAATTGCATGGATTAATCTCATGATTTCAAATACATATTGCCTGAACGTATAGCAGAAATAATGTTCCAACGCTTTTGGAGGGCACTGTACAATATACATTTACAAATATCCATAAATGTGCCATATTGTATGGTAGATTCAGTGTCTTAGATTGCATAAATCCTTGGTGTTTCATTAAAGTAATCCCAAAATCCCAAATATAAGAGCAAAGCCAACACAATCACAGAGCCTCTGGATAGGTGAGTTAAGGCATTTAATGTTGATGTACTCACTGGAGGAGAGGGGATAAGAGAAACAGGGAAGAATTTAATGGAACCCCTCAACATGTAAAACATGAAACATGTACAGTAAATATCATAATGAACATATCTACTGTGAGTTATACTGAAACTAAATGAGTCCACATTGATTTCAGTGAGCACCCTGAAGCCTGGTTTACACTGCAGAACTAAGATAGCAACGACTCTCTGGCCTCCCCCATGGCACTGCCAGTGGCTCAGCTCTGAGACGGATTCACTCATCTCAGTAACACTACTCCACACATCTTGAGGTTCAGAGAAAAAATATTGCTCTGCGTTTATATAGTCATGACTGGGGAGCTAGCCATGCTCTTCTCTTCCTTGTGTTTATTTCCATTTAGATGCTCAATCAATTCCTGATTGTTGCCACTCTGATATTTTTATCATTCTGTTCAGAGGTCTCTTCTTTAATCCTCAGATTACAGACTGTTGGCTGCATGCCTCCGCCTGTGTCATCTGCAGTTATTTTGACCAAAGCTGTTGGTGGAAATGAGGTAAGGCATCTTCAGAGGTTTGTGCTTTTTCCGAGGGTTTCCAAGTTTTAATGCAGTACTATCCTAAAGTTATTCATTTTCACAGTGCATGATGTTTGCATTTTGTTGGAAAAGCATGTTACAGAATTGTAAGAAACAACACCATTCATAGGTTAATTTCACTTTTGTGCATTTATTTTTGATAAGCGTCTTGACAAACTATTTTTAATTACAGAATATCGAAAACATTTCTGGTATCGCAGGAGCTTGGCTAATCTTAACTATTTGGTGTCTTTTAAAACACTACAGCTCTAAATCATTTATTTTCAAATGGGCTATCATTTATGAGACCTTCTAGTAAGGCTGTATAGAGATGTTCCTGAATAGCTTCCTTTAGGTCCTTTTCTTTACTGTTGTATTTCAAAGCGTACATATTTAATAGGCGCAGTTAGATGGCGTTGTGTATATTATCTTCTGCCAGTTTTATATTCAGGCCAATTCAGTTCTTTTTAAATTGCAGATTGTGGCAAATAGTAAGATAAAATTTTACCATTGATGTACAGCACACTTAAGTTTATCTGTTCACATGAGGAAATGCATAACCTTTACTGCAGTTTTTAATGGTAAGGAAGGGCCCCATGTGCTTTGTTTAAGACTATAGTGTTTCAGTTGGGCATTCTGCATACAACCAAACCCAGTGCAGCCTGCTAGAATGTTTCACATTGGTATATTTGGGTTCCCATTTTGAGGGAGAATTTAACCTTGTAGGCATTGCTGGTTGAAGTCTGGACTGTGACGTTCAGCATGTGACAAGCATCCAGAAAAGGCAATACACGACTAGACCAATGGTACTGGTCAGATCTGAACAGGGATTCCTTGGGCTTAAAGGAAGAGTAACACCTACACCGTTGCACAAATGTCTTAGACATCTTAGGCACAATCAGGATTTAGAATATACTATATGTTATGAGCATTGGTTTACTCAAATCCTCAGCTAGAATTTGCCGCAATTGTAACAGTTTAGACTGTTATTGCTATGCTGTAGCTTAGTTAGGTGGTGTGAAGAAACCAAGTTTATCCTTTAGCAATGTTTTAATAGGCAGCAATCAGAATCTTTATAATCCTAGATCGCAACAACCAAAGGTGAACTGTGTCGTTATGTAGTAGTTAATCAGTCATTTTTTACCAGTCAAATCGAATTGACTCATTTTCTGGTGTTCGTCATCATTAGCTTCATCTACTTACTGTACCTCCACATATCCATAAAGATAAAAAGCTTTTTGTTCTCCAAACTACAGATCTGTTAGGATTAACTGTCAGCTTCAAACAAAATGGCTAAAATTCCAGTAGATGATCACCACAGAATTGTTTCTGTCTAAAGAAGGAAGAGCGTTGAGTGAAAAGGGGAGAACAGAAACATCTGAGACTTTTGCACAGCAAGGTATGACTTTTCAGGCACACGGTAGCTTGTGGTGTTGTCACTGTGAGCCTCATCAATCTTTCAGACGAAGCCCACGCGGCGGTGGGCGCTGTGCGGCTCACAGTGTGAGACATGGTGGATGGTTCTGTCAGGGCACGTTGCCGTTCTCCAGTGAGGGTATGACATGGAGGTGAGTGTTGGCTAGTGCTTCAAAACTCGAAACTGGGGAGGTGTGAAATTTAAATTCAGAAAAAAAAGTTACCATACTCTCTTCAATGTCTCGCTTTTATCTGCCATTTGATCTGAAAATGAAAATCTTTTTCTTTTCTTCCGGAGTTGTGCGGTCTGAACCAGTGACATTGGTTATTCTGACGTAGTTTTGATGTTCATGAAGGCTTGCATTTGGTAATGTTACTAAAATCACGATATAAGACTAGCCAAAGCGGTCATTGGCTATTGTGTATTAACTAGCAATTCTTAACATATTGTAGGTATACCAAATTTGTGTGATATAGTTGAAATATTGTTACCATATTTGTTAACATTCAATTTCTGCTACCGATGGTTGTGACAGAATGACTTGGCTTCAGCATTGGCTTCATTTTTAGGGCAGTATTTACAAAGATGCGTCAATGAGACTAAATGTATTTTATGGTCAATTAATAATACAATTGTTCATTTTTAAGGTCCTTAGGATTTGCTACTATTTTGGTATCAAATGGTATCAAATGATGGAATTTACTTAAATTGAATTATTCATCAGTTTGCCATTCTGGTGGTAACAACAAACCCTGCTCCAGAAAACTGGTTTTGTTCAGTGCCTTTAAGTAGAAGAAACAAGTACCGTTCATTGTTATTTACTATTCTCCTTCAGATCATTAATAATTCTAAAGTAAGAACATTCAGGAATTCATTATATAAAATGAGTACACGCATGGGCATACTGTAGGTTATGTAATGATGTTAAGAGTGATAAAAAATAGTCCATGAACTTTTATGTTTTTCTTAAAGTTTAATTTCTAGTTCTTCGTTTCAAACTATATTGACAGTATAAGCATGTAATTTGTGTTTCATAGATGTCCTTTACATAGTCACAAATATATGGTGGTAGCAAAGTATGTTCAAAACTGTGGGGAAAAAAAAGAAAAGAAAAACTTTGCAAATTACATCCGTTTTGAATAACAGCTGAGCACAATATAGGGTTGAGATGATCTGTACAAGTTCAGACACTGTCTGTAGGTCTGAGTGACCCTGGTAAGGAGGCAGTCAGGAAGCCTCCTTTCCTTCTTGTGATCACTAAGCTTACAGCAGCCATATCACCCTGCAACTCACAACTGACAACCCACTAAAGCTAAGCAGGTTTGAGCCTGGTAACTACCTGGATAGGAGACCTCCTGGGGCAAACTTGCTACTGGAAGAGGTGTTAGAGGAGCCAGTAGGAGGTGCTCTCCTTGTGGTCTGTGTGCGTCCTAATGCCCCAGTAGAGTGATGGGGACACTTTACCTTTAGATGGAAACATAAAACGAGATTTCCACTCTCTGTGGTCATTAAAAATCCCAGGGTGTTTCTTGTAAAGAGTAGGGGTGTAACCCCGGTGTCCTGGCCAAATTTCCCATCGGCTTTTACCAATCATGGCCTCCTAATAATCCCCATCTCTGAATTGGCTTCATCACTGTGTTCTCCTCCCCACTGAGAGCTGGTGTGTGGTGAGCGTACTGGCGCACTGGCTCAATATAAGTGTAATGAATTAATATTACAGAAAGGATATCCTGCTCTGCTGAACCAGGATCTGTGATGATTGGCTCTGATAGCTGTTTCTGACTCACCTTCCCTTGCAGACATCCCTCGCATCCACAGAGCCCCTTTACAACATGGTATAAAATTCATCTCGTTTATATACCTTATCTGCACATTTTATTTCCCCTGACATGGAATGTCTGTGCTCTTATTTCAGCAATCAATGTACTCTGAATGCTGTCTTCAGAAATGAATTCCAGAGATTGCAGGTTCTAATTGTTCTATCTTAAAAGGACCAAAGGTTGCCTTTGTTTTGGTTTGTCTCCTCTTTTGATCAGGTATCCATAAACTCGTTATAGAGTGTTTGTACAGTTTCAGAATGCACAGGCTCCTCTGTGCTCCTGGCGGTCCCAGGAAAAGCTGGCACGGCAGCAGGCTGTTCCCTGACCCCGGCTCAGCCGTCCTGCTCCTCCTGCTCTAGGGAGAGGGGAGGAGAGGGGAATGGAGCCAGGGACAGCCTCGCCACGAAGTTGCGTTGTCTACCGAGTGGTCCCTCTGGGAACCGACAAACATGCCACTTCTTCAGATCGTTATTAATTCCTGCTTTGCATTTTCACTGTATGTAATATTAATGGGTCACCGCAGCTTTGTACTCGAATATGGAAACACAAGAGAGGGGCTACACCTCAATCGATGCTGTGAATAATGTTCTTCTGATAGTACAATGCCTTTTGTCTGTGTGCTTAGACAGCATTCCTTTCTTAACCCTTTCAGCAGCCTGTAATTCACAGTCATTTAACCTCTCAAGAGCAGCAGAGTGTGGATCGTTATCATCTGTCAAACTGAGCAGGAAATGTTTTTGTAATTAAAATTAAGGGCATAGCCAAACCTGTTTAACTATTTAAGCCTTTCACAGACCATTTAAAGTTGGCAGTTTCAAAGGAATTAATGATTGTCTTCTTTTATTTACTACAATATGTCCTTTATTGTTTAAATGAAATTAACTACCTCTTTCTGTACATCCCAGTGCTATATTTGAATGCAGACGTATTGTGGAGAAATGTTTCTTTGGAGAAATCAAGGAGGGCAATGGAACAAACAGTGTCTAGACAGTTTCACGGGTCGTATTTATTTAGCTTTTAATTAAATTTGAGTGGATTATTTGCAGTGGTTGTAGTGGGAGGCATTAATCAGACTTCAATTTTAAGGCTATGGAGTGAACATACCAAGGTGTTTTATATGCTTATTGGAGGTTTTTTGTCAAGTTGAACATTTTTCCAATAATTAAGCACAATGTACTGAATTCCCAGTATCAGTATTGCCTTAGCTTCAAGACCCTGCCCGCCCTTATTGTCTTTTGTCCAAAAGTTTTAGCCTTTAATACAGCATAATGCACTTTATTCCTAACCTTTGCACCAAGTTTCAAATTGGAGGACCTTGGGTTCTATGGTTAAACCAATACATAATAATAAATCATATGGCTGAAGCTCTTAAGATACCAAGACATTGATATAATTTTTTTAATTTGATGTCCATGTTATCTGAAGCCCAGACATAGTTATTGTTTTCTGTTTTCTTAATAATAACAACTACATAATGATGCTTGTGTTTAATAGCCTTTTATGAAGAATTTAGCGTGCAATTTAATGTTATAGGAACAAAACTACCTATTACCCATTTCAACGCACAGACTTGTAGTGTTTTATTATTACTTTTAAATTTCTTTAAGATTTACAGGGATGATGTAATGAATAATCATCAGGGAACAGCGTAACACTAAATAATAGTAAAGACAATAATCTGTTATGTATAGCATTTTTCATAAAAGTATCTCAAAGCTGTGTTCATAAAAAGTTTCACAATA